CCCGGCAGACTCTCACCATGCCCCTTCTTCTCGCAGCGTCTGCAGATGGCATCCCTGAACTTACAGGTCTGTCTCTGGTGTGACCCTCTGCAGCTTGAGCAGCTCCTGTGATGCTCTCTCTGCTTGCGTGTCTGTCTTTCGGTTTGGAAGATGTCCTCATCCGACTCTTCCTCGCTGTTGGACTGGGTGGCCTTTCGGTGTACCGGTGTCAACCTTGGGGTTCCTTGTGAGGTGGCTGGTCATTGCAGGGTCTCCGCAGCCTTGGTGGATGATTCGTGTGCCCTTGCTTCGTCAAGTGCGCTGGGTAGTCAGGTTAGGCCTTGCGAGCAACCTTCTCTGTAGGCGTATATCTCTAACGCCACAGATTAGTTGCTCTAGGAGTGCATCATTGTGGTCTCAATACTCGCAATACGTCGCAGCCTTACTCAGGGCAGCCATGTATGCGCTGATCGGCTCTCCTTCTCGCTGTACTCATTGCCGGAACTCGTAGCGCTGAACAATCTTAGATGGTACCACCGGGGGTAGTGTGCTTTAAGCATGGCTTGTAGCACTTCCCACAATACGGTCTGGACCGGAGTCTGTTCCGAAAGTGATTCAGCCATGTCGAAGACCGGTCCGCAGTGGCTCAGGAAGAGGGCTCACTTTTGGTTTCCGGGGAGGCCCTACATGTCGCTGGCTTCCAGGGAGCACTCGAACCGGATCATGTACAACTCCCACTTCTCTCTGGCTGGATCGAAAGGCTTTGGCAGTACATACGCAGACATCGTGGTAGTACTGCTATGTACGGGCTCGTCAGCCTGGCTGAATCCGCTGTTGGTAGCTCTTTTTCGGCTTGCTTCTCAGTGCCTCAATCCCACCTTCGTCGCCAATGTTGAGTCGTGGGAATGAAGAGGCAGGAGCAAGGTAGTGACAACAGCTCTTTAATGTAGAGTGAGACTTCAGCAAAGGTTACAGACAAACAGCTCCCTTTATATACCTTGCCGGCCAGGGAGCTGACCAATCACAAGTGACCTATTGTTATTTAAATCTCCCACCAAAACTATATACATAACACTTTAACTGTTTCCCTGGCTCTTTGCTCTTTTTCCTCTTCTTTATCCTGAGTATGGGATTTAACCAAGTCTGCTGTAAGGACTTTAACAGGGGTGCATGGAGCCCAATATTGTGCTTGAAGAAAAACAGCTATATCTCTTCTCAATGTCTCTAAATCATGTTGAATGGCTATTAGTCATTAAAATATTAAAACAACCATTTGTGCTGTGAGAAGGCATTGCTTTGCCATAAAACTCTGTTTTATTTTCCCATGGTAAACTCTCCATACTCTGAATTAGCTTGTTGTTCTTAGCCTTTTTAGCCTTTATCTCAGACTCCATACAGGATGTAACTGGACTAGTTGTTTGTGAGAACAGCTGACTGTCAGTTTCCACCCCCACCCCCACACACACATCAGATCGGGAAATTTGGGGTAGCAGCCTATCAGCATAGCACATCTTGCCATGGGAATCTTTACCACTTTTCCTTGCACAAGCACTCAAAATTGTCAGATTGTGAGTACATATGTATACATGCTTGTTCACATCACCACACATATTTTCAATTGGATTCAGGCCCAGGCTATGGCTGGGTATTCCAAAACTTTGATCTTCTGGTGAAGCCATTCTTTGTTGATTTAGCAGTATGCCTTGGGTTGTTGTGTTGAAAGGGGAATTCTGCTTCATTTTCAGCATTTTAAGCAGGGGCCTGAAGGCTTTGTGCCAAAATTGATTGATATTTGGAACTGTTCATAATTCCCTCCACTTTGACTAAAACTTTAGTTCCAGTTGAAGAAAAGCAGTCCTAAAGGATAAGCCTGCCATCACATGCTTCACTGTGGTTATGATGTACTTTTGTTTTGTGCTGTTTCTGTACAAAACATACTTTTTGGAATTATTTCCTGAAAAAGTTCAGCCTTGTCCCATCAAACTACAACACATTTTCCCACATAACTTTTGACAGACTTAATACACATTTTTGCAAAATGTAGCTGGTCTTCAATGTTTTTCTTTTAAGAATAGCCTTCCATTTTGCCACTCTACTGCCGAGACATATGAAAAATATAGGAGATTATTGTCATTTGTAGTACATAATCAGTGCTTGCCTTTAATGTTGCCTGTTAGCCTCTTGGCAGCCTCTCAGACCAGTTTTCTTGTTTTTTCATAAATTTTGGAGAAACCAGAACCAGCCAGGAGAATGAACAAGAGTGCCGCTACAGTGAAATAGTGACATGAAGCCAACTGCAGGAAAGGAAGTCCCTTTACTTGTAGGTCAGAAGTGAAGTGACACAGCAATCAGTTCTGGGACAGCTGAGAAAGTGATCTGGAGATTTACTTTTACTTTACTTTTACTTTTATTTGATTTGTATACCACCCTGCTCCTGAAGGACTCAGGGCGGTGAACAGCCAACAATAAAATACATACATACAAAATTTAAAAAAGCAGAAATAAAATCCAATTAAATAGTTTGGCCCAGACAGATTAAAACCCCAGTCAATTTAAAACAAATTTAAACTTTGAGGATTAAAAATATTAAACATATTGAAATATTAAAATTATTTTAAAAAAGAAGGAGAAAGTTAGGCCAGGCCCACCTGGTGAAATAAAAAGGTCTTTAGAGCACGGCGGAAGGTGCGCAGATCCGGGATCCTCGGTATCTCCGTGGGGAGCTCGTTCCAGATAGTAGGTGCCCCCACAGAGAAGGCTCTCCCCCTGGGGGCCACCAGTTGACATTGTTTGGCTGACGGCACCCAGAGGAGCCCCTCTCTATGAGAGCATACCAGCCGGTGGAGGCTATTGGTGGTAGTAAGGGGTCCCGCAAGTACCCAGGTCCTGAGCCATGGAGCCATGGATTAGATGGGTTTTTTATATAATTTGGGGACTTTGTGATTTAGATGACCAGGTTCGTTGCGAAATGAATTTTAATCTGTACAAGAGTGTGTCTTTTAATATTTAATTTTAATATTCTAATTGTTGTTGCCTGACTCCTATTGTAGCCCTGTCCTTGGAGCTGTAAATGTAGATTTTAAGTTTCTTTGTCTCTCTCTCTGCTTTTAATCTGATCAATTTCAGCCTTCAGTGGAGCTATAGCTGAAGGCATTTTGTTTATGAATCAAATAATTTGTCTTGGTGAACGGAAATTAAATCTCCATTCACAGGGGCCGGCCATTTGAGTGGAGTGCTCCAATCTCCTGAATGGATTCAAAGTATTTCATTCATAAACTTGGCCTCCAGAGAGACTTGCTTGGAGCACTTTCTGATGTTGAAGAGATGTGAATGATTTTACTTCAGAAAAGCCTTTTCTCTTACCGGGGGGGGGGACACATCTTTGCTTATATGGGGGCTTTCTTATATTAAAAGGTGGTGGGGATTCTCCCTACACAACAATGAGAACCCTTTGATGCTTTGTAAACTCTTTGTAGACCATGGCTGATGCTAAGAGGCAACTGAGTAAACATCAAAAAAATCCTACTAGAACTGATTAACTTTGGCTTGATCAGAGTCACTTTAATTGATGGCAGGTCTACTGACTACTATTTAACATTAGTCTGAATGTGTTTGGTTCATTCTGAATACAGTCACATCCCTACTTTTAAGAGGATGTGCACATTTATGCAACTTTGTTAATACCGTGTTTCCCTGAAAAAAAGACCCTGTCTTATATTTTTTCGAATCCCGAAATAAGCGCTTGGCCTTATTTTCAGGGAGGTCTTATTATTTTGGGGCACGTGGAGCAAGATGGGGCTCCTCTTGCCATCTTACCTGATTTCCATCTCTGTGTTTAAATATTTTCAGGGAGGGCTTATTTTCGGAGGGGAGGCTTATTTTAGTGGATGCACTCAAAAGCCCAATTGGGCTTATTATCAGGGGATTTCTTATTTTTGGGGAAACAGGATATATATATATATGAATTCTATAGGTTATATGTTATATTAAAGATGGACAAAATTCTAAAGTGATTTATCTTGGTCTGATTTTTTTTTTAAATCTCAAAAACCTGGCATTTTAATAGTGTAAACTGTTAAAGTTTGTAATAGTTGCATGTAAAGTTTGTATATCCACTGTAATTGTTGCTTGATGTGTATAGATTTTGTTTTTTTGTTTTTTTGTATATAATTATATATCTCTATTTGTGATAAGGTGACTTACACACTTCTTAGAAATAAATGAATTATCATAATAAAATAGGTCTGGGAAACAAAAAGCTTTTTTTTTTTGCCCTTATGTAGTAAAAGGAACAGATTTAATGATAACCAGTAGAAAAATAGGAAATGGGTCCCTTGACAATCAACAGGAGTGCTTATTTACCATCAGCTTATCAACTACTTAGGAACCAAGCGAAACAACAGCCAAGACTTAATATCTTGCCATTAACACCTCAATCAACAAATAAAAAGCCACACACAACCAGTCACCACATAAATACTATGCATAGAATAGCCCAAAGCACACATTCTGGTAGACAGAAGTTCTCTGAAGATGCACTCCAGCACAAGTCTGAAAGCTCGGAAGACTAAACTTCTGGTCCTGGTGACCAATCAGATTGGATCTGATAAGCAATAGATTTACACTGAACAGCTAAATGCCATTTCTAAGTTATCAAAATTATGCCAGGGTTTTTTTTTTTTTTTTGTTGTTGTTGTTGTTGTTGTTTTTTCTATTAAAGAATATTGTCAGGATGCTGCCTAGGAAACAGACAAGAGAAGCAGGAATCCCCAAGGGCTTAACGGTCAAAGGAAAAAATTTAGGAAGGGTCTCCCCTAATTGATCAGATGGTTAAAAGTGATGGTATAAAAGTGTATAGTTTCTGTTCATGTAGCCTTATGATAAATTATTATTAACTCATCTAGTTGTGTTTCCTAGTTGTTTACCCAGGAGAGCTGGGGGAGGAATCAAATTTGTTATTTGTGGCTCCTGTGTGAATATTGATTTTCAAAATCACTGATGATGTTCTTTTAATACTGCAGTGTACAGATTCAAATTCAAATGTGAGGAAAAGAACAAACACCATAGTACAACCAGATTTGGAGACTGCTAAAAGAATTGACCCAGGAAACAATTCATTGCCTTCTTCTTCATTAACTCAGGGGCCCTTGGACATTATGCCCCGATCGCCTTCAGCTTCAAGTCCAAACCCATTCAGCCGAATTAATATATCAGAAACACTGGCTTCTGCAAGAGCAACTCCTTCAGCTCCTCCATCCACCCCAGTTTTAACAGGTTATATTGCCCAGCAGGACACCATGGAATCCCCGGCTATTCATCATTTACTTGGATCTAGACTGGAAGAGATTCAGACTACCACAAATGCTTTGGAAGTGCCCACAAAATCCCCGTGCCTCAGTTCTCCTCCTGCTCCATCAGCCTGCAGCTCTGGCACCAGTAAGATAGACAAATATGCACGCATTTTGTTTCCTGTCACTTTTGGAGCATTTAATATGGTCTACTGGGTAGTTTATCTTTCCAAGGACACCATGGAAAAAACAAAAAATCTAATGTAGTCCTGCTGCTATGTAATATCTTCTCTCCCCCCCGCCCCCCGCAGTTTATTCTAAACATGTATGGATGCAGAGTTTCTTCTTTTAAAAGTATTTTTTTTTAAAGGAGTCTTAACACTGATTTTATAAACAAAAGCTCTGTAATCATTTTCCCATGGTGAAGGGCAGGTATTCTTAGATTATTTTAATTCAGCAAAAGTTGGGGAGGCCATAAATAGTGTCTTCCAGGCTCTTTACAAAGGGCATTTTGTATGAACAAACTACATTGGGCCATTGAGAAGAACAGATATAGGATATTAAAGTCAACTGCGGATGCATACAGATGTATGAGAAATGCTCTGTTTTTTCTAAATTTGTATATTGATAAATATATTTCTATATTTTCACTACTTAATTTCACCACTCCAGTGTGAGTTGTGATACCTGTCACTTGGATGCTCATCCAGATCTTTGTTACTACAGGCCTTCCTTTAACAAATATTTGGTAGCATAATCTCATACCTATCTGTTCAAAAGCAAGTCCCTCTTAGGGTCGATGAGTTTATTTCCCAATAAGTAAATAGAGTACTGTGTCAGAATGGTGACTAATTGTGCTCTCAAGTTGTTTTTGATTCCTAGCAACCACATAGATTTTCTTCATGAATTGTGTCAAAGAAGAAGCAAAAGAACCTTAGGTGATTGTATAAGCACAAAGATTATGAATGTGATTATAAACTTAATATATGGGGATCTTTTGGGAATGAAAAGAAGGATCCAGAGAATATGGTAGATGTGTTTTATTAAATTGTTTTATCTACTAATATATGGGTTATTATGCCCATGAACAGGGTTTTTTGAAAGTCTATGCAAACCATTAGATGCTGAATATGGTTTAGTCAAGGTTAAATATTTGGAGAACAGCTGCTAAATATGAGATGGAAAAATGTTTAACTAGGATGAAACTAAATCTTGTCTTATTGAAGGGAATCACCTGGGAACTTTACTGAGTAGATAGGACTTACATTACTACATTAAGAACTTTTTAAGTGTATAAACAGCCAGCCAATGGAACAAAATACTCCGTGATATAATGAGTTCTCCTATCTTAAAGAGAAGCTGGATAGTCATCTGCCAGAGAAACTGTAGAGGATCTGGCACTGAGCAATGGCTTGGAGTAGATGATCTAAAATGTATATTCCAACTCTATGATTCAAGTCCTTTATATAGACTTTGAAATATTTGCATCACACTTCCCTGACCCAATGCTCCTCAGATCACAGAATCAGAATATGAGTTGAAAGCTAGTTTGTGAACATTTGTTCTAGCCCTTGTTGTATTCCCACAATTTCCAGTCTATAGACAAGAGGTTGTACGGGAGTTGAAAATTGGAGGACTGGAGAGGACCAAATAAAAATAATGTACTTAGACTTCCTTTTGTGTTTAGTTTGCAATTGCCAACATAATAGATGCTTCTCTTGCTGTCATGCATACCTTCCTACGTTTCTATTGTGGTTTAGCCTGAATATAAAAATTGTGAGATCCCTGTTGCAAACATTTTAATGTAAAATCAGTTGATACATTAACCATTGTTGTGTTGGACTTGCTTCTTGTAGTTCTTTAACAAGACACACTGCAAACATGACATTTTCTACACAAAAATTACTGCAGTAATCTATGCAGATTATTGGTCTGGCAGTAATCTAGATCTGGGCCTAAATCATTGTGATAAACATAAATGAGAAGGTGGTAAAAGCTCCATTGTTTCCAGGCATTAAAAAAGTCCAACAGTCTTTTGTCCATTTTTAACCTATCAATCAAATGGTGGGTAATCAATAGTCCTCTGCCAAATGACATTTGCACAGATTGTCTCTGTATCACTATTTGTCACCACCAAGTGGGAATTTTTTAAAAAAATCAAAACCTAAAGAGAACTTCAGAAATATGTTCCTACTCCCCCATAAAATAGAAATTCATAAATCTATTCCAGACATCTGCCCTCCTTACATCACAACCATGTTTGCTGCATCTTTTCTTTCTTTCTTTCTTTCTTTCTTTCTTTTTCTTTCTTTCTTTCTTTTTCTTTCTTTCTTTCTTTCCTCCCTTCCTCCCTCCCTCCTTCCTTCCTTCCTTCCTTCTCTCTCCCACTCTCTCTCTCTGTGAGAGAGAGACAGAGAGAGAGAGAGAAAATTCAAAGTGGCCTCCAGTCATCAACAGTTTGTCCACCCCATATGGAGAACAGGGCTTATTTAGTAATATGAGGAAAGCTACTACCGTGTTTCCCCGAATTTTTTTTGGGGGGGTGGGCCTAATATAAGCCCTACCCCAAAACTAAGCACAGGGGATGGGCGTGGCCAGCACAAGAGCCAGTGAGTGTGTGGGAGCCGATGGTGTCTGGCAGTAGCTGCAGTCTGCTGGCTCCTTGGCACAGTGCAGATAAGTCTGAGCGCAGAGGCAGAGGTGTGGGGGGGGGACGGACAGACAATCCGGATATGTGTAGCTGCCTGGCTCACAGGAGGCTTGTGCAGCAACACTGCAGGTGGAGGCAGAGACACAGGGGGAGGCAGGTGATCCTGACACCCCATGTGGGCACCTGCCCCGACGCAGCGATGAGCAAGCCAAGAGATGGTGGGATGGAACTAATTGCTCCATTTCAAATCACACCATTTGCAAACAAACAAAGCTTCCAGTCTCTGTCATTTCTCTGTCCAGGTGAAAAGTGCATCTGCCCTGGGAAACTATTGTAGCCGTGGGTAAGCAGATGGGAGGGAGTGGGTGGGCAGGCAGGCAGCTGCAAAATAAGACATCCCCCAAAATAAGACCTCTTGTTTCCCCCCCAAAAAATAAGATTGGGTCTTATTTTGGGGAAAACACGGGTCAATGAAGTCAGGAAATCTCTTCAAAGACATTATAATAATACACTCAAATATTTTAGATCCAAATGTGAGTAATTCTAAAGAAATGACTTTGGACTAGTCCTGCTGGACTCCTGCAGACAGTCAGCATTTTTTCTTGATCTTTACTTTAAAAAGGGAAAGATAGGAAAGCTACCCTGCCATGTTTGGTTTGCAAGAAAAATGTTTTTTCTCCTGTTTCCGTTTGCTGCATCTTTTCTGACCTTAATGTTTCTCATGCCCTGGGCTAGGAGTGCCCTCAGAATATGGTTAAATCAAGATAGCATCTGCAATTGTGCGATCAGAGCTCTACCTGATTTTTATATGTGTTCCATGCATGACGCATATAAAACCAGACTGGAACATTGTTCACATATCATATCTAATTATACCTTTACAGATCTCATCTGTAGTTTTATGGACATACACTCTGCATATTCCTGCTATGGACTTAATGTTTCATTAATTGATTGTCATTTAATGTTGTCTTTCTTGTTTCTTCATATTCTGCCATAAAATATGGACTTAATCACAGTTTAATTCCAATAAAACATGAAAAGGAAAAGTGTTATGTATTGAATATATATATATAGTTGTGTTAAGCCCTGTTAAAGTGAAACTAACCTTTAGATGACCCTAACTGTTAACTCCAACTGTTTTGGAGGGAAACTTAGAACATTCATATTTGAGTGGGCTTTTTCAAGTATTATGATTGGTTAAGGCCCTATGGGCCTAGAGTATAAATTACAGGCATTTGCCTGCTGTTCCTCAGTTCCAAATTTAAGTCAATAAATGTTGTTGTAGCTATGCTGGTCTGCTTCTTCCCTACTGAAGCCTACTACACAATAAAAAGATTGGTAGATATTCTTCCATGCAAACAAAAAGTGCCTCTGACTAGAGTCTATCGTGTTAGTAAAACTGGCATCGAAAGGCAGGTGTCCACATATTACATTACCATTATGCATCGATGAACACATAGATGTACACATGTCCTTTTTAAAGAGTTTACCAGTTCATAATTCAAATTTCATGCACAAAGAGTTCATACTTTCTTGGAAGGGGTGGGGAGAAGCTGATCCTTACATAAAGCAGGCTTTGCAATAGTGGTTAACCCGGAGAGAATATTTTTTTTCCCTTAATTTCCACTCAACAATCTCCGAACTAAGCAGTGAGCAAAGTGAAGCCGAATGCTGGGGAGAAACCTCAACAACTACCCAGCCAGACACCGGCTTCATATGTCCCATCGAGGACATCGAAGCTGTCCTTGAAAGCTCCATGAAGCCTCAATGGTCGATTGGCATAGGAAAGACAGCTGGGATGGAAGAGCCAAAGAGGTGACTCTCACCCATGGCAACCATAAGCCTGGGTGGAAAAGGGAGCTGGAGGCCCTCTCCAATCAGGAAGAGCTGTCCGAGGAACCACTGACAGATGATTGACTGAAACAGTACATCAACCGTATCGTGATGAAAGCCCTGGAAAATCTCAATGTCCAAGGCAAACAGGGTCACCAACGAAGGATAGCGGGCGAACCAGCAGCCAAGGAAACTCGAGCCATCACCCCGACCAATCTGCGGCTGACCAAACAGACAACCAAGCCAGCAGAGCAGCAGCTGCACCAGCTACCCAACCTCCCACTGTCTCAGCCCAGGCAATTGTCCTTGGCCAACCCAGGGGCCCACAGCTAGAGAGGAAGGCCCCTCCCTTGGGGTAAAATTTGACAGAAACCCCCAAAACTTGGGATTTTTCATGGCCCAAGTCCTCAGCTACATGCAAGAGTACAGGCAGAATTTTCCAACCCAGGGGGCATGAGTGCAAATTGTTACCTTAGCCCTAGAAGGGGCAGCGGCCAGATGGATGGTGAGCCTCCACAACTCCAACGCTCCAGAGCTACTAAACGTCAATCAATTCATGACAGCCCTGCACCACCGCTTCAAAGATCCCTTTGCTGATTTCAAAGCCCACAACTGCACCAGAGTCATATAGAAAGGCTGCCGTCCTGTAGCTGAATACATCAAAGAATTCCGGGATCTGGCTGGCCGAGTTGACTGGCCAGAAGATATCCTAGTCTGCTGATTCAAAGATGGACCCACGACATGTACACTGCCTGCCTGGCCCATGGCGCCCCTAACTGCCTGCATGAATCATACCTGATGGCAGAGGAGGCAGAGATTGAGATGACTCAAAACCAGTACTGCACCAGCAGGGCTTGGAGAAGATCCCCACCCCAGGGGAAGCTAGAGCCATTCAAACCCCAAACCGCCATGGCACCGAGGCCATCAGGTTGCTTTAAGTGTGGGAAGGAAGGGCACCGTGCAGCAGAATGCCGGTCAAAAACCCTCACTGGAAAGCCTGATCACCTGTCAGGATGGAAGCCTGCAAAACCCACCCCCCAAGGAAAAGAAACTGTGCTGAGAAGCTGAGAGGCCACGGAATTCCGTTCCCCTCCAAAATCAGAGGAAGGATCTCCGATGCCCCGAGAGGACCTGACCCACTCCGAAAGTGATCCGGAAGACAACCCGCTGGTAAACAACCCAATTGAACCACTCACCCTACCCTTAAGACTTTTTATCCCCAGCTGAGGGAAAGGAGAGCCAGTCATTTTTGCCACAGAACCATTGCAAATAAAGCTGGGGGATCATAGCGAGACCCTCATGTTCATAATAGCCCCAGGAATGGAATGGCCACTAGTCCTACTACTAACGTGGCTGCAGAAGTAGAACCCTAAAATAAACTGGAAGTGAGGAACCATAAAATTCCAAGCATGTAATTTGATGTGGATTAAAGAATGAATAATGTTAAGAAATATTAGATTGTTGACCTTAGAAGGTCATGACTTGTTATTGGGCTGGCACGCTTTTTTATGGTATAAAAGTATAAAAACACAGGGTTATTTCAGAAGACATATTATATGAGAATCTTTGTTATTAAATTGGGAGAAGATCAAAAAATATAATTACTTAAAAATTCCAGTCTGGTTATCTTCTATTGAAGCATTCTCATATTCAATAACATTTAGAAAGGAACAAATTGTTGGATATGGTGAATTATTGAATGAAAAGGGTGAACTTAAATCGAAACAGGAATTAGAAGAACAAGAGATAAAAATGGATTGGTTTTCATATATGCAAATACAGTCTAGATATGATGAAGATTCTAAGAATGAGGGTTTTTACAGTAATTTGACAAATATAGATAAAATTTTAACAGGTTCTGTTGACTATGTTATCAAAAAATTATATGGTTATCTATTAGAAGTTAAACTGGAAGAACAAGTTAAAGAAACAATGATTGCATGGGGGAAAATTTTGGTCATGGGATTGATTTAGAGAAATGGCAGAAATTGTGGTTGCAGAATTATAAAATGATAATGTCAACAGCATATAATGAGAATTTGTATAAGATCTTTTACAGGTGGCACCTACCCCCGGTGAGAATAGCCAGAATGTACAAGAACAAATTGGAGAAGTGTTGGAAGTGTCATCAGACTCCGGGTTCATACTACCATATGTGGTGGACATGTGCAGAAGCTAAAAGATATTGGACTAAAATCCACACATGGTTGGAAAAAATGATAAAGAAACATATTGATTTTAAACCGGAGATATTTCTATTAGGGATTGTACCAGAAACATATAACAGAGAATTGAGATACTTAATTGTGAATGTCTTAACAGCGGCTAGAATTGTATTTGCTAAAAACTGGAAAGGAGAGAAGATACCTACTGATGATGTTATTAAGAAAATTTTGGAATGTGCTGAAATGAGCAAATTGATATTTGAAATTAGAGAACAGGAAGATAAACAATATTATTTGATATGGGACTTACTTTACCACTGGGTAGATAATAAAGCATGGAAATGAAATATGAAATATGAAATGGATGTAATAATAAACTAAAGTGGGTTTTTTTATGGGAGATAAGCCATTGTTAAATAATTGGTAAATGAGAATATGGATATGGGAATAAGCACAAAAGATTTGTAACCAATCGATACACTTTCTGTAATTGTAATGGATGATAGTTGTTTTAAGTTTTGCTTAAAAATAAAAAACTTTTTTTCAAAAAAAAAATTCCAGGGGCATGTAACTTTCACAAATGTGAAAGAGGAAGGAAAGGAAAACAGGGAAATGGCAATGACTGGCCACCCTGCTGAACCCACTAACATCCCCAAAGAATACCAGGATTTGCCTGAGGTAAATAGTGAAGAGGGATCTGATGAACTTCCACCCCATCGCGCCATGGACTGTGCCATTGAGATCCTACCGGGGCTAAATTTCCAAAACCAAAAATGTACTGCATGTCCCCCAGAGAACTAGACAAACTCAGAGCATTTATTGACAAAAACCTAAAAAGGGGTTTCATCGAAACCAAAAATAGCAACCCCAGTGTTATTCCACGAAAAAAAAGATGGCTCTCTATGCCTCTGCGTAGAACCTTAACACCTACATAAAACCTTAACACGATCAATGTGGAAAATATTACCCACTCCCCCTCATGAAGAACATGCTGCCTCACCTCTCTAAAGGAAAAATATTTTCAAAGCTTGATTTATGAGAGGCATACTACCACATCAGAATTAGGGAAGGGGATGAGTGGAAGACTGCTTTTAACACCCTGCTGGGGTGCTACCAATTTAAAGTACTTCCTTTCGGACTACAAGGGGCCCCTGCCATATTTATGCAATGAACATTTATACAAAGGGGTCTGATTTACCTTGATGACATTCTAATTTACACCGAAACAAAAGCAAAACACATAAAACTAGTCTGAGCAGTTCTTGCTAAACTCCAAGCCACCAAACTCTATGCAAAACTCTCTAAATGCGAGTTCCACCAAGAAAGAATTGACTCACTGGGATATAGAATATCCCATGAGGGAATAGAGATGGATCCACTAAAAGTAAAAGCTGTCATCGATTGAGAGCCGCCCCAAACCCATAAACAACTACAAAGTTTCCTTAGTTTTGCTAACTTTTACCGTCAATTCATTCCAGCCTTTGCTAAAAATCGCCTTCCCCATTATGAACTTGCTAAAGACAAAAGTGGGGGGAACCAAAACCAAGACAACTCCTTAACTGGACAATGGAATGCCAAGTGGCATTCGAAAAACTTAAACAACTATCCTCAGCCAAACCAGTCCTAAAACACCCAGACCCAGAACAACCATTTGTCATCAAAGCAGATGCCAGTGATGTGGCAGTAGGAGTGGTCCTACTTCAAAACAATGAACAGGGGCAGTTGCAACCATGTGCATACACACCCAAGTAATTGACAGAAACGAAGCAAAGAGGAGCCATATGGGAGAAAGAGGCTTATGCAGTACAATGGGCCCTCCTCACATGGAGACAATTCTTAGAAGGGAACAAAATACCCTTTGAAGTCTGGACTGATCATAAAAACTTAGAAACTCTGAAGACCCCACGAAAACTTTCCCCAAACAAGTACGTTGGGCGCAATACATTAAATTAGGACCCAGTTATGGGGGCTGACTTTGTATAAATATACAAAAGGATGAAGGCTATTGCTTAGCACACTGTAAGCCGCCCTGAGTCTCCGGAGAAGGGCAGCATATAAATCAAATTTAAAAAAAAATGTTTTAATTTTACCCTCAAATATCTCCCAGGAGGAAAAAACTTCTTAGCTGATGCCCTGTCCAGAAAACCCCAATACAACAGCAAATAGACTGAAATTGTTAAACCTATGCTCCAAATACCCAGCTAGCTGTCAAAGTAATTACCCAAGCACAAGCCAAAAAAGAACCGCTTGCAATTCTAGTGGCCATCCCTTAAAAAAGACATTGAGAGCTA